GCCTCCACTACCGAACTACCTGGTAGTGAAGCCTAACTCTAGCTCTTTGGCGTATTAAGGCCAAACTGACCAGACTCTTGTTAAAGAAGGTCAGAATTCACTACAAGTTCGCTTCTGTGAACTTTTCAAGGCCCCAAGCTCCGAGGCACCAAATTTCGACACAGAGCGCTGTGCTACCTAAGGTATATGGTCTACGTGCACCACTTCTTGGTTAAGGCTGGTAAAAATAAAGAATATTTTTAGACAATCCACTTCCTGAAAAATTCCGCTCGTCACACAAATACGCATGCGCACGCGTGGGATTAAAATACGCGTACCGTCTACCTCTCCCGATCACACGCATCCGCATTTTGAGGGTAAGGGAAATACGCATTCTGTGCTTTCCTCATTAGCGCCCACATGTGTGGTTAGTGGGACGAGGCGCTCACTGGGTGCGCCGCAGTCTTCATATTTTTTTTGCAAAAGGAAGGAGCGAACTGAAAAGAAGCTTGTTAATCAGAACCGGTGACATTCTTAGTATCACCGCGCTCGATGTGCAAGTGCATAGCCTCCGACATACTGACAAAGCCTGGCAGATCGCCACGAGAAGCGGCCGCAAGAAACGGAAAAGGTGGAGCGGCAGACAAGGGATGAAAGTTGAGCCACTTGACTAGCGCCCCGCTGCGGCGAGACGCCGAAGCACATTTTTCCCGAGCAAACAAGCGTGTTTCAGGGCACGGCCACTCGATTAGGACTCCCCTTGGGAGCGGCCTGCCGTATGCCTCACTCCGCCGGTGAGAGCGATAGTTCTACTTTACCCCGCAGGCGCCAGCCGTGGCGCTCGTTATCGGTGAGAGATAGAGTTCCTTTCGGGGGAGCATATCGAGGAACTCTATACTTCGTTTCACGTTAGTATGTACTTGTTAGCCGCGCGTGCTAAAAGCGCGAGATAGTTGCTTCGAAGGACGCCCCGGCGGCTGCATGAGCGCTCGTGCAGCGAGTGCTCCAGTCAAGGCAGTAAAGGCTAGCCGCTCGCGCTAGCACAGCGTTCGCGGTTAGTCCATGCTAAAGTAAGACGAAATATAGTGAGAGAGGAGCAGTACGCCCGGCCCGGTGTGGCTATTTAGATTTTTTTTCATGAAGCCGCAAGTCTCAATTGAAATGAGTGCCAGATTGCATGAATAATGTGACAAATCTGTGTAGAATAAAAGCACATGATTCTTTCTGCGAAAAGCTCACTCATCTGCAGGCTGCGCGTTAAAGCTCCATTCTGCTGGCAGTATGAGCGAATTGTTGTTTTCTTTTTCCGGTAACTGATTCCCCGTTTCTATTACCACTGTAATATAGGAGTTACAGTTGGATATAGCTAGGCCGTATGATTTCCGGTTTTAACTGACGCTCGAGCACGCGCGAGCTGTGCCATTTATTCATCTGTGAAGGACAATATAAAATCGGATTCCGCGTGCATAACTTCAGCAATATAAACTTTATTGTTTACAAAAAACAGACCAAGGGAGTCATATAGTTCACAAGCGGAGTACCTTTCGGGAAGGCTTCCGCGAAAGCCTCAATATATTCTCTAGTGGGCTGTTTAGGTCACCAGCCCAGTTTGCCAAAAAATGTCTAAGGAGTTTTCTGACAAAGAGCTCGCAGAGCTCTTCACTGCGGTAGCGGTCTCGGCAGTTAACACACCACATCAGCGGGCAGTCCATAGGTGTGAAAGCACAGCGCTCGAGAGGACCTTGCAAATCCTTCCACAACCACGAATCTCTGCCGACTGTAGAGCCCTCTCGACAAAGGCGCAGACAAGCTTGCACAGCCAGGCAGCTTCAGGTCGTGGATAGCTGAGTCCTCCTTGGTCAAGGCTAAACATGGACTGATATGCTCCGTCATGTGGTGCATTCCCCTTAAGTTGCGCTTGCATTCAGGACACGTCACCTGCAAAGTTTAGCGGGCTCTACACATTAGCCTTCCTTGCTTTTACTGAGAAATTCTTATTGCTTTGCTAGGTTGAATATTTCAGCTAATTACTTTGAAATTACGCCAATTTCTACAAATAAAAATGGTCACCTTTTGTTCGCAAACGAAGGCCAAGTAGCCAGCCATGTAAGTCAGCGGTGCGAACTCAAGTTCAGAAGATACTTTATTGTACTTCATCAACTGCAGGATTTCCTGTTTCACGAGTGGAGTTGGCAGATTTCATCGCCGTCTGGCACTCAGAACTAGAACGCGCATTTACATTTCCGGCAGCTTCCAAAATGCCAACACAAACCACACACACGAGCGCAGAGTGACACTATGATATTTTTGCCGAGCACAGCGGTGCATAGGTGGGGGGAAAGCGAGTTTTGCTGCCTTCTGCAACCGCGGCAGCGCCTCGTTATCGGCGAAACCAATGACAGGCAGATATTTTATCTGGGTATCGGAGCAAGAGCGCGTTGGGCGCCTTCTCTATACTCCGTTTCACCTTTTGTTGTACCGCAGCGAAGGCTGGAAGCGCAAGCTCATAGCGTTGACAGCTGCCCTTACTGCACGAGAGCTTGTGCCGCCGAGGTCTGCCCGAGAGCAAGGAGCTCGCGCTTACAGCCTTTCCTGCGGTACACTGGGTGAAACAGAGTATAACTTTCAGCTCACAAGACCGCTCACCGATGTGCAGCGCCCCCACGGAAAATGGGAGAAGTTCTCCTCTCACGCGCGCTCTTTTGTTTTCGGAAAGACATCGGCAGGCCGCACCAACAGGAGGGATCGAGTGGCCGTGTTCAGGGCCTTGCCGCTGCAAAATATGTGGAGTGACGTTCAGGTTCCCCGAGAAATGGCTCTTTGATGCTCTGCGCTACCAGATCCTCGCTTTCCAAATCTGCGAACGGCCACTTAATGGCTCTGTCGTCGAACTGCCAGGCTTTGTGAGTATAGAGGAGGCTATGGCAAGAGAGACGCCGAGTTCAAGGTGCAGGGTTTGGCCAGGAATAGAGAGGAAAGGCGCGCTCGTTCTACGATGGCGGAAAGTCGAGTGAAGATAAGCACTGCCGTCGCGCTTCATCGCAGTTTGCTTTGGCGCACCACGGAGTTCTTTTTTTTTTTTTAGTTACATATTATTTAAAATCAGACATGGTAACCGATATGCCTGTTTTCAAGGAGACGCTACGAATTTGGGTATAAACATCTGGCAGGGTTATCTCGCAAATCAGATTGATGACACATCACTTTCTTTCGCACGCAATTACCATGAGCGTGGAAGTTTAAACTTCCAGGCACCGATTTAAAAGACGCCCCTGCGTGAATCATGCAGGCATTACTACAATTCACGTTGAGCGGGTAAAGCAAGAACATGCGAGCAACTTCGAGAAGCTCGCAAGCTTACGTGCTTGGCCTTCCAGGCAGGAACGTCGGAGTGGCAAAGACGCCATATTTGCCATCTTTTTTTTTTCTTTTTAATGCGGCTGGTTGCTTCCGGTACTTTTGGAAGGAGCTCAAGTACTGAAACTCAGCAAGAGCTCACTCGGTGGGAGACTTCTGACGCGTGGAGTGGTCGTCCTCGCTCCTCAAGCGTGCACGAGTCAGCTCGGACCCAGACGATTATAGCACCCGCCAGTTCGTAAAGTGGCACGTTGAGCCGCCATGACTGACATTTACATGAGACCTTGATTTGCCTATTCATATAAACTGGTCAAGACGAATCCACGGAGACATTGAATAAAGCGTTCGATAAAAGTAAAATGTATAGAAATAACCTAAGTCATGGCGGTGTCCCAGTTTCACTATTTGAAGCACATATATATTTTTTTCTGCACTTAGGGCCGTCCAACATATACAAGCGCGGCGTCTCCACATTGAATAAGAGTACTGTCTTTGTTCATTTTTTTTTTACTGATAGGGCGCTAAAGCACACACCACCCCCCGGCGTCACCGGTGTCATGGAGGTATTAGAGAGCCTGAACTGAAGAGGGGGTCATCTCTAACCATGGCGAGCGTTTGTAATTTAATGGTGTTCTCCTGCGTAGATTGGTTGCAATGGCGCATGCACGGCGTTGTAGCGTGGCGAGGAGGAAAGTAGGCAAAGAAGCTGAGACCTTCGTAGACGAGTAACACTTTCGTACCGTTCTCGCAGCTCACATTGCAAGCGCGGCCCATAAACATCATGATCCGGATGAAACAATTAGAAACTCCTTGTAATTGTGAAATTAAAAAAACAACTCGAAGACCTACAGCGGACGAGTAGATGCACACAGACAGAGCTTTGATTTTTGCACTTTCTTTTTTTCAATTTCACACTGAAACCAACACGACCGAATGTCAACGATACTACGATATCTCTGTAATGTGGACTGCCTAGAAAACGCAAGGCTATATCGTCGTTCATAGCATCCCACCTGGAGCCATCTCTCGAGACGGTTTGCACTTTTGGGGTGGTACTTAAACAAAGGATGTGGGGCAATTCGTGCAAGTATACTTTAGTGCGGAAAAGGGAGAGGGGGTGACTTGTTTTTTTTTCGCGCACCGCATTGACCTAGCTGTTAATCTCTGCAAAGGCGAAAAAGGAGTCAGTTCATTGGGCGCATTCGCGACTGCAGTACCTAGATTAGAGGTTCCTACAAGTGGCGACATTTTTTGAGGTGCCAACTGCATGACGGTGCAGATTTTTGGAAGTGAATGGCGGCTCACAGCAGGAGAGTGAACTCAATGATGCCATTTTGTTCTAACGGAGTGTGCTTTGTCATTTGTTTAGTTTCGTTACTTGTAAAAAGCAGCATCGAGGGACTTTATTCAGGAAGTGTGATATGTGCAAGTCAATATCTACTGGACACGCTCAAAACAGGTTCTGGGGGACAGTTGCCAAAGATGGCAACGCGCAGAAGGTGACCATTGGAATGATATAAAGTAAAAAGGTATATGTGGGAGTGCAGTGGAAGGATGCATGCGTAGAAATAATTTCGTGAAAGTGGAAATTTTTTTGTTTTCGATTCTCGATCCTTTCACGTCAAAAAAGTGTACAATGTTACTAAAGAAATACTTACTTTCAGGAATTACAGTTCGGTCATGCTGGGAAGTGCCACATCTCAAGCTTTGAGCGATATTTTCAAAAATCAGTTTTCGGGCCGAATGTACGCGACCCAGAAAAATGGGCCAGGCAATATCATTCACCAAAAGGAGCTTCATCGCATTTTTCAATCTGGTAAGGTGTGCTAAGTGCTTTGGTTAAATAATTACCTCAGACCTAACTTTCCATCTTTGGAGATTCCTGATTGGCCTAAAAGCGTGCAAATGATGTGAGCAAGATGAACAATTCTGTGATGCATAAGCACGATTTACCATTACGATTTAGGAAGGCCAGTCCTTGTAGAACAAGGAGTGTTTAGCGGCTGTGGTATCCCACACAGTAGGTTGGCAAACCGAATCAGGTTAAGGGATTCGCCAATTACGTTTTCACACTGCCATGTTTCTATGCAATATGAGCTTATATTTTGCACGAATGCAGGAGAATTCAAGCAAAGCCCAGCTGATACAGAATACGAGCAAACCCTGTTAACCGAGCACACAGAAGCTGCAAACGACACCCATGCTCGTAGTTTTTTTCCCTCATTTATTCGACAAGCAGAGTATGACGTTTGTTCAAATGGGATGGGTCATGTGAACGTCCCTGATGAATCCCAGAAGGGGTCCGGCACGCTTGTTAAGCGTAGACCACTTCCGGTAGTCCTCACGTCAGGCCAGATATATGCTTGTGTCACGGCAAGTGGGCCGTGGAGGTGCTGGAGGTTCGGGCAGCTCCAGAATACGTTTCGAAGATTCACCCTAGATGCTGCGACGCAGCAGTGCGGAGAGGCTGGGCTGACATCCCCGGGTGCCGGCCCCAGAAGGACAGGACGACAGGGGTGACTCCGAAATCCGCCCATATCCGCGTGAGGAGGACCTTGTCTTGCAGGATAGGGCCGCCGAGAGGGAATGTGGGCATGCGGAAGTGAGTGCAAGCGTAGCGACCCAGGGCGGGTCGCGCTCACGACGAGTGAGGCTCCCGGCTCATCAGGAATGGGGGCAGGATTTTGGGGGAGGACGTTCAGTTAGGGCACAAGCCTCCTGGTTGAATTCATCCCGGTGAGTGTCGTGTTTGTGGCCAGGAATTCAGTGAACCATGACTTCTACGTGGGATACACAACGTAAAGCATGGACGGCATGATTTATTCGTAATGGTGATCGGGTAGGCTTGAGACGTCAAATCGCAAAGGCACAGCCAGTGCGGACGCAATCCCGAGCAACATTTGGCGTCCCAGTTCTGCTTGGATTGCGTTCCGGATGGCATATAATTCCACGATGAGTGAATCGTCCAACTATGTGGCGTAAAACGCTAGGCTTTAATGGAAGGCTGAGAAAGGCAATACCATGCGGCTGCGATGTCTTGTCGGTAGGTGGCGGCGGTTCAAGGCCGGCTCCTCCGGGCTCTCGGCTGCAGTCTGCTTTGGCCGCGGTGGCGCACGGCCCGGCGGATGCGTGCGTACGGTCGCAGACTTGTCGGTAGGAATTGTAGCGTACTACAACGGTGGGGGGGGAGTCCCGACATACGGAGAAGAGTGAGGAGCTTCATCGTGCAGAGGGGTAGTCGTATGCTTCAGTTTTTGGGCCTTCTTGCGTTGAGGGACCGCGTGTTGAATGGTGTTCGGTTTCACATACTCAGACAGGTGCCCGGAAAGTATATGCCGAGTGAGGCCATTAATAGTGCGAATGGCGTCTCTTCTGATGACCTCAGGAGACTTCCCCTGGGGTGCTGTGAGACGCTGTAAATGAGGTTGATATATTAGACGAGGCTGAAGGACTCATAAAACGAGGACTCGGGCCACCTCATTCCGCGCTTCGCCACATAACGTAGACATACCTCGGATAAGGTGCGTAGTAGACGCCGCTGTCTGCCCTTGCGCGTGAAGCCACGGCTTGGCTCATCCGGACTGGTGGATGAGGAGTTTTAAAAGCTTGGTTTTGTGAGCTACCGAGAGCTGTGTTGCTCCCAACTCCAGAGACAGGGGAGTCGACGGCAGTTTCTTCTGGACCGCGTTGCTACACATGTGAAAATAATGGGATCTGTTGGCGGGTACCGTAAATTCAAACGCGGTATCATGGCATCCAGGATGTTCAACTCGCCTCTCCAGGGCGTTTTCTTTTCCTCCTCCAGGGATACGTTCCCCGTCCATATTGTAAAATCATCCCTTTAGAGTAAAAAACGAAGATTCTGCATATCAGAGAGACCCCAGGCGAGGGGCAGGAATGTAATATTAAATAGGAGTGGTGCCAGCACCGTTCCCAGGGCCAAGCCGCAGCTTGATACATGCCCGCAGTAAGATTGCTCTTCAAAATATTTATGTCCAATATGTTGGGCTCCCGGTTTTCAAATATTCCGATAAAATAAAACAAAAACACTCTGATTTAAAAGGATAAAAAACTAAAACAAAACAAAAACAAATTTGCGCTTTTTTACTTCTTACATTATTATGAACCAGCGCGCCGAAACCTACGTTTTAATCAAAAACACGGACCTGTAAAATTTTTCTTAACACAAAATTATCACATATCCGAAATTCAGTGTCAGAATGACGAAAAAAGGCTAATAAAACGTGGTATTATACAAACGAACTTAATTCAGTGGTCCTGAGGAGAGGCCCCGCCAGTTTCTTTTCAAATCTTGGACTGCTAACAAAGGTGGGTTCACCATTAATCTCGCTAAGTTTTGTTCAGGGCAACTGGTTCCCGTAATTTTATTGCTACGCCAAAAGCCATTGTTACAGATTACCGTTTAAACTTCTTGCAGTAAGCTTTGGCTTTGTTTTTATAACATAGAAAGCTTAAGCCAAGAAAAGGAGGGGCCAGCCAAATGTTCTATGTCCCTACTTTAGCCCGCGCAGCCGCGGGGTGGAGCGGAGGAATGGAAGGAAAACGAGCTTCACAGAGACTACATAAAACATATAAGTAATTTTTAAGTATCGACGCTTAATAAAGTAACAATTGTTTGCATGATTAATGTTTGTCTGACGGTTAGTATTACCAATGCTCAATCCAGGTAAAAATATCATTCCATACAACTGATATGTTATTTATTTAGGTCAGGTTTGGTTCCAGATAACAGTTGTTTGTATATTGAATTTGGAAACGTAAATTGCCGAGAAAAATGAGAACTTACCTTTTTGGGGAATCGGAAATCTTAAAAAAAAATTTTTTTGGTAAAAATCCAACTTTCGCGAAAACATATACCCCAAAAACACTCCCCCGAATTTCGCGGCGATTAAACTCCGAAAACACGGAACTCTACCGATATGTCAAAAAAGTAGTAAGTCGGTTGGCTGCGTTTTACCGAGGGTAATCAGGAATGATTGGCTTACCTGAATTAAACGTAAAACAGGTGCGTCTTACTCATTAGGACATTTTCTTTCTTTTTTTTTTCCACGAAGGATATGGCAGAAGAAAGAAGACGGGCCGAATATGTGAACCATTAGGCTATTTTAATCTATATTTTCTGAAACCACAAAGCGTGATAAACTAGCCGTCTCGATGATTGAATAATTTCGCGCGAAACGTTACGCTTCAAGCTCTAAACCTAAAGTAGCATAACTTTAAAAAGAAATACTTAACAACAGTATATGGAAGACAACACGCGAAAAGAGGTTGTTGTGTAAAGAAGTTCTGCATTTGGAATATGTATAGGGTAGATTTTATTGATTAAAATTTCTAGTTGGAGAAAAATAAAAATATTACCCGAGGAGGTCGTGGTTGCTCACTTTGATATTGGGCACTGGCAGCGGGAAAAAAGCACCGCCTCAGAAGAAAAAAGTACCAAACACACAATGAGGTGTATGAAAGAGCCATTAATATCTGTGATATTGATAGTTTTGGCAGCATTAATAAACCAATGCCCAATTGCCGGAGATAAAGAGCATATTTGCCTCGCAACCCTATGTGAAAAATTTATTTGAATCAGAAATAAATTTATTAGGCCAAAAAGTGCATATGATCAAATAAGGGCATAGAGGAACATGTAAGGATCGTAAAAAAAAATATATGGAAACAATATTGTTAAGGATCCCAGGCAAGGACTCAAGCTCGACGTAGACAAGCATCCGGACGTTACTTTAAAGGCGCCTGCAATTCCACTCTCGTGGCCCAGAAACCGTCCACCAGTCCCCTGCTCTTGAAAATGCGGGAGTCCGCTCACGCCATATCCTGGCCACCGGCTGGTACATTACAAATATAACATAAGAAGTCATAAGCAACCTTTTATATGTTTCTTATATATTCTTATATATTGTTATAAAGTTCTTATATGTTCTTATATTATCTTATTCCATCATGTGCGCTTGTTGGACCAACTGATTTATTATACAAATCTGATTTTTCACGAGGGAAATCCTGGTATAATAGCTGGCTTGTGTAGTATCTCAAGGTCTTGTTCTGTTCACCCTCGTCATTGCCGATTTATGACTTCTGCATTCAATACTCAATATGCTTTTCTGCCACAAATTCATCCCATTGACTTTGTTCCTTGTTCTTAGCACTACATCACCTGAATGCAAAGTCCTGGTAAAAACTGTTTAATGTTTTTGCGTATCGTGAAGTACGTAAAGCGATGACTAAGTTCACGTTCCCTAGTCCCCTCTTTAATCATCGTAGGCACGTCACGTTAATGGCGACCTGGAAATTTCTTGCCCATGATGTCATTTTCTTCCAGTGTTATACAGGCTACCGTAGGCATGTTATGTATGGTATGCAGAAATATTTTTAAGGGACGAAAATAAGAACTGGGTATATCGTTAGGGTACTTTTAGCCGTGAGGCTAACTTTGTGGCCACGGGGCCAGCTAGAGAAGAGACGATATTGGCTAATCAGTAAGCTGAAAGCTTCACTTGATTTTGATGTCTTCATTTCTGGTGGCATAAAGTATTTGAAGAATGAACGCTGGACCTCGGTGTAGACAAGGCGTGAGGTGAATATTATATAAACAAAAACAACTATAGTTCTCATTAAAAAAAAGTCTTCTGAACTTAAAAGCACCCTGTCTATGGCGCCTCTTTTCTGAAAATTAGTGTTAATATGATTATTTGCCACCCCTTTATATAGTAAATCCTGCAGCATTTTATGCCAATTTCCTAAGGTTATTAGGTGGCTATTTGGGCCAGTTAGTGCATGGTCTTAAAATGAATAAAAGCTCCGCCTACAACAAGGATGCAGACCAAATAAGACAAACACAAGGCGCACTCTCAACTGTAGTTTATTCGGAAAGAACATGTACTACACACTAGTCTAGTCATCATCACATCGGCGCAAAGAATATTTGATAAAATCAAACTCTTTGTTTGAAAAGGCGATATATGCCTCACTTACGCAATACCTACCTTCAACTTGTCTGACCATCCCGCAGTTCACTGCCGCAGATTCTCCTGTTTACCTGTGTTGCATGGTTTTAACATTATTGCTAGATATAAAGACAAAACAAGCAGAGAACTGCACCAGGCATTCGAAATTCGGGCTATATGCAAAGATTGTTTAAGTAAGGCCTCACTCGCTCTTTAAGAAAAAAAAAAGTTTTATTTCATTACACATGTTTCGTGCCAATCTGACGATGAATAGACTGGCTGATGTGGCCTTTATGGTACGTGTTCTTTCCGAATAAACTACAGTTGCGGATGCGCCTGGCGTTTATCTTACTTCCTCGTTGTTTTCGGAGCTTTTATATATTTCACAACTCATAGGTACATCATGTTTCCTGGAGCGCGCTTGATAAACAGATACGCTACCCACGGTTATATTTCCATTAAACACAACATTTATACACGTTAAATAAAACAAATGATTATCCCATCCTCGTCGTTTCCTCAATCCAAATTGTAAGTTTTCTAGCAACCCCTTATTCCCTACACATATTCCTGCACACTATTATCTGCATGATCCATCTCGTCGTGGAATGAACAGTTCCGCCATTCGGCAATATGGTGAAAGCAGCAAGCATCGCCCCTTAGTTTATAAAACAAATTAAAATAGTCTGTCTGGCAGAGTTTCTACAGTTGTTTTTCACACCTTCCTTATCCTATCGGCGACATTAGCCTATAAGATCGCCTACAAACGAATTACGAAGCAAAACTCGTTAACGTAAGAGACCCCGCTTTTTGTCTCATAGGGTGTTGGTAACTAATGTAGCTTTGTCCCGAGACATATTGCCACGCGCGTCGGCGAGCAAGCGCGTGCGTGGCCGAGTGGTTACCGCGATTGACTGTCGCGCGGAAGGTGTAGGTTCGATTCCAGCCAGCGGACTGTCCTTTTATTTATTATTTCAACTTGACCTTCTTGTAAGTTCGAGAACATTCTCGTCTTATCAAGTTCCGAATGTTATGCGCACCGAAAGTTCTACACCGAATGCTCCAGAAAACTAGGAGGGCACATAAAGGACTCCGCAAGGCGAGCGGAGCAAGTTTCGTCCCAGCGTTCGACTCTGCTGTCACGTCGACTTCAACGCCCGCGACGCTCTGCTTTCTTCTGTTCCCTTTTTTATTTTTGGGCACAAGTTCGCCCCATTAACTGTTTAGTTTCTTCAGTTATTATCGCCTCATCACTTGTCATTCGTGACAATATAGCATGTGTCATATTCATTCCAACGTGTGACCTTTTGCGTCTTTGCTTTGTTTCCAGAACTGTCGACACTTCGACTCATATATACTTAGATAGATATCTTTATTTATAGGGTGAAAAATATTTAGTATAGGTAAGAATCGGATATACAAAAAAAAGACACATAAAAAAGCACAAACTAATTGAACATTTAATATTTTCGTGCTAAACCAGCGCGTACGGCAAGAATATACAGGACCCGTTTCTGGGATAGAGTGGAAAACAGGTATAGAAGTCAGTACAGCCTACATAAGGCAAGGGGGAAATTGCTGCTCATGTACAGAGGCGAGATTTCTGTATTTCTGCAAGGTCCCCCCCCCCCCCCCCCCATAATAAGAATAAAAATACAAAGCAGGCTGACGGTCGCCAAAGGCTGGATTTTGACCCGCAGGAGCTGTAATTGCCATAAAATAAAGTCGCGTAAACAAAGAGAAAGACGCAGAATAAGAATAAAAAAAGAGCAATACTAAATGCAAAAAAAAGTGACAGAGCTGATTGCCGTGATAATTTTTTGCAGAAAGAAAGTCTCAGTGTCCATAAACGCTCAGAGTCCAGTAGTGGGAATCAGCGAAATAAACCAATCACTTTCGGATTTGCTATATACGCTGCGCAACAGGCACAAGAAACAAAGTATGACCAGCAATTAACAGGGTGTCTTCATATTCTCTCGTATATTGTCAAATCGGATGTCGCGAGACGGAGATGAAACCACGCGCCGTACACAAGTCGAAAAGAGTGCAGGTGAGTCGGAATAGTTAACAATCCGTTCGAACGCAGAAAAAAAGATAGAGTCCGGAGCCAACAAATGCTTTTTGCGGACGATGCTGTCGCTAAAGCCTCATGGGCAAAACATTTTTCTACAAATACGTGGCGGGAATGTTTAGATAGCTCGGAGTTAGCCCCAAAGGTCGTCTGTGTCTCTGCAGTAGATGGGAAAGTTTGAATCTGCAGTATAACTGCCAGCCTGGTGTGTGTAACGTGCATCATGCAGTAGTTACACACGATCGTACGCCAGCACGGTGCTTACATAGATAGGAACGTGAAGAGGCGGGTGTTGAACCCAGGATCTCTCGGTTGTGCAGCGCCCACGTTTGGTGCACGTGATCCAAGCTGCGATGAGTTGACATACTCGGCCACCGAGAACTTTTTCATCTAGTCTCTTTGAATCCCACGAAGTGTTTAATGTCTAACGGGGGAGTGGTGTACGAAGGTAAAGAAATACTAAGCATAAATAACGAAGGCTACGAATTTAGTCCTGATATTTAAAGCATTATTCTAGAAATTTGTAGTATGACTGGTCCCAATAAGGCGCACTAATTTGCCGTTTGCTCTCCACAGATCTGGCTAAGGGAGAAACTTTGTTGGAAGTGGACGCTGGTCCGATGGCCTGGTACTCTTTCATGTCGTCCAGTCGATTCAACGACATTGTGCTGAGCGACTTGGTCGAGAACAACAGAGTAGAGCTCGAGAAGTGGCTGAACAGAAGCGAAGATGCCATCGACTGGACCTTCCGTGCAGAGCAAGTTGCTGCCTTGGAGGGCTATAGGTAAACCTTCGAAACAAATATCTGTGTGATAAAATACATGGTTAGATATTGTTTCTAACTGCGTATCATGTAGAGGAGTGGCTCTGAACCATTTATGTTTGGCGAACATTTTGTGGATCGGCGGAGATGATGGAGGACCCCGTTCGTGTTGAAGGGATGGAACGGGATAGGCTCATTATGATAATAATTTAAGAAATGCATATAATTAATGGCTAGAGTGAAGTGTACTTTCATTAACACACGCACAATGCAACTTACCCGAAAATGGGAACGTTTCATTTCAATCTTAAAGAAATACAACTTTTCTTGCCGTGGTTTGCTGGTGAGACAGGGCTTTGCGGATTCCTAGAATGCCTCCGCGAACCCCAAAATGTCCACGGACACCCATTTGAGCACCACTGATGTAGATGTACATGAGAACTATTACACGAGGCTAAGGTTCCCTCATATGCTAGAATTATATTTTGGTGTAATATTTCTGATATACACACCAAAGTCTAAAAACGCAGAAGGGGTTTGAGGCGCCTCGAAGAGTTGTTAAAAAAGCCATATCGTCCGCCCAGTCGAAGAACGATAATTAAATTATACGAAGAAGAAACAATAAAGTCGCAGATATGTTAAAAGACAAGGCGTTGAAAGTCCCCATCATCTTACTATCACAGCCAATGAGATGCTGTATTAACCATTAAGAAAGAAAAAAAAAACACTCATGAAGCAAGAAATGGAAACATGGGAAGCTACGTACTACGTTTCTAGAGTCACTAAATAAGCTATGCTTTCTGAGTACCGCATTCCTTTTCTTTGGCATTTCTGCGACAATACAGTCGCTCTATCCAACAATATTCTGGTTGGCTGAGGCATCATTAGACAGCGGCAGTCACGTGAGTCGCTATCATCATCATCGCGTTTTTTCAACGCCACCATCTTGGGTCCAGAGACCCTCTGCCTGCTTCTGTTTGTTGTGTAATGCGCGCGCACGCTGAAGTCTTCGCTCAGCACGCGCGTTTTTCGTGTTACCTCGAAATACGAACAACACGACTTTAATTCGCTGCCACATCTGCGGCCGTGGCAGCCGCCGCAGGCGGCCACGGCTACAGCTCGGCTTGGCTCAGCTACAGTCACTCCTCCATCTGCGCGCGGACCCAAGATGGCGGCACCTGACGCGCTTCAGACGCGTAGTTTAGGAGTTTCGGTACTCTGAAAGGCGTAGCTTTATTAAGTGACTCTATGCGTTTACTAAGCTGCCAGAAACATTAGAAAGCTGCTACTAACCCGAAATATTTTCTTCAAAATGCTTCGGCTAACTTTAAAAAAAATCTTTCTCGGCAATACCAGCTACCGTTACACAAAAATGAAACAAAGAAAAATCATGCTGCACTTTACTAGGAATCGAATGTAGTCCCCGTCGTCGTGTTCTGGACCGCGACATGGTCACGTGAGATGACGTGGTCACGTGATCACGTGACATAGTTTTGCCAACCCACGTGACCACGTGACCATTAGTCGCCCCGACGTCGCTGAACACCACCGACATACAGGGCCTATGCACTGTTCCCTCTCTATAGCTCAAAACATGACAGTATATTACCGAACACCGCTGCACAGCTACTGGCCGGGCCAACTAAGGCGCAGAAATATAATAACGAGTAGAATAAAAAATATGAAGGACTATTAAAGTGGGGTCACGCGAAAGTGTAAACAGGCGTTATCTTTATCTCAGGGGTCTCCGACTCCGCGTGTCGGCGAACGTGACCTAGATCCAACGTTACTGGAACAACTCAGTTTGGAAACTGCCATTGACCCTGCTCTCAAAAAGTGGTACCGGTCCGTACTCGGGTACCGAGCTAACGGCGACCGTAACGACGTCATTTCTCCCGCAGCGGCCACTTGGGGAACCGCACGGCTGCTTGTTTCGAGATGTCGTCCTGTCTATTTTCTGTCTCTCCTACCTCTTGATGCTTCCTTTCTACCCCAGTCTCAGGTTAACTCAACATGCTTGTACTGTTTCGAGAGTATCGCATTCGAGAGCGTACGCTGTGACTGTTTCTATTTTGGCTTTAATCGGCCATTCTGGCGCCGAAACATTTACCTTGGAAAGGGTCTTAGGGATGCCAACTCTTTTTCCCAAGCGGACGCACCATGAATGACTAGCAAAATTAGGACGCGCCCAGGCCAGGGATACCTGAAATCACCGGTGGGACATCGTTGCATAAAAACAATATTAGCTGTGCCGCAATAGCTTGTAAACTAAAGATTAAAAAAAATATTACGCGCCTGTTATGTTGTACTAATCTTGAATAAAGGTTCCTTCAAAAGGTTTTTGTTTTCATTCGTTTTTACGCGAAAACTTGCTTTCTAAAGGCTCATGGTGACCACAGTAAAGAAAAAAAAATTGAGCCGCCATATTGGTACTTCGAGCCTGCGAGTTTCGGTAGTCTGGGAATATTCACTGACTCTAGTAGTAGCCATATAAAGCGACTTTCATGTTTTAACTCGTGGCTAAAGGGTGGAGCTCTTATTGCATTTAGCTTGGTCTCGGTGCAGCCTGCGGTCCACGTTTCAAGGGTGAGTGCCCCAAATGAGTATTTTAGTAAGGTTGTCGAGAGAGCAAGTGGGTTGTTATGTCGGGACGAGCGCAAAATTCATCCTCACTCGCATTCTGACAATCCCGAAATGTGTGCCATGGTATGCTTGCGCAATCTCTTAGCGCGTTACGGCGGCGCACCCATAGAAGCACATGTATCCAATATGCAAATATGACCAGAAAACCGAAACATTACGCTTTCAACAATTTCTCATGCTACTACTCCATTCTATCATATACCACTATTATTGTGCCAAACTTTCAGGATGATAACGGGTAAACGACAGGTTCTTCAGTCGAATAAACGTTTTGATCTACTGCCACTACAAATAGTGTCAAAGATAATTAGTCTACATTTCATTCATGGCTCTAAAAAGTGGTTATGATGTTATAAATTTATTAAACTTCCTCCCCAATATCATGGCAAATTTTGTGATGTCTAAAATGTGCATTATGTTTGTAGAAAAATATATTTAGGAAGCACCTCACGAAAACTTTTGTGAAACAGAAACGTTCATACGAGCACACTTTAAAAATAGAACTTACAATATTTTCCATACCACTACAGTAAACTAAAATGTTCGATAATAAGCTGGGTACATTTTTTTTAACTCTTTTTTCTTGAGTTAATTATGCCAATTTGTCGAATAAGCTGGATTTGTAATCGTTAATACGTTTACAATCATTTCCAGTATTTTGCTACTGATATGAATATATTAGCAAACTAAAAAAAAAACATTTTTACGATAATCTAGCATTATAAAAACGTTTTCGGGATAATGTCGCTAAATTTGAATGTTATGTGGTTATAACAAAGTGATTTTTATTGTAAGGACTGAGAGCACTCCAATGAGTACCCAAATTATGAGAGGATTATTGTACTTTAAATTCACATGTAAAAGCAATAATGAATCATATACAGAATGTTTAGATTAATGTAATTATCCCAATCGCCCTAAACTCAGAGCTAAAGTTAACGAAAAATCGACTTGATTTCCCATTCTTTGAAGAGAGGGCGGAAGCCTGAGATTTCGAAACTGCACCGACTTGTAGTCGGCGTACCTAAATGTTGTGTTTCGTCGTCAGTTGAGAGCTCCTTCCAGCTAAAAACGTCCCAAGACTAGGCGCGAGTTCCCAGGTTTGAAATATGTACGAATGCCTAAAAATAGCCGAACCATGTCCACTTGAGGACAAGTTTTCTGAGAATGGCTCATTTTAGAGGATTTTCAATCGCAATTGACAGCTTGTCGTCGAACGTCCTAAATTTTGTATTTCACAACCACTTCAGCTCTCGTTCGATCTCAAAAAGCTGCTGGATGAACCGCGCGTCCCAGAATTTTAAAAGATTAACAAATGCGTAAAAACAACTGAATCATCCCAAATTTGAGACCAATTTTCTCAAAAAGGAGTAAATTTGAAGTATTTGCCATAGTATTAAGAGGGCTCTCGGGCTTTTTTTATATTCCGCCATTAGTGACGGACTGAAATTTGCTCAAAAAGTTCCCTTGTGAGGCGCTTGTGCCCAATAGTCAAAAATTGAACGAATACGTAGAAACGGCCGAACCATTCCCATTTCGTGACCGGTTTTGTCAAAACTAATTCAGCTTGAAGTATTTGCCATAGTACCAGGATTGGTTTGAGGGTTTCTACATTTTATAATTCGCCTTTAGTTGGGAACCGGGTTGTCCTCGAAAAGTTCTCTGGCAAGGCGCGGGTACCCAAATTTTGAAAAATGAACGAAAGCGTAAAAACAGCCAAACCATCAAGCAATTTGACACATGTTTTCATAAATAGAAGCGATTTTTAAGTATTTCAATAGTACCGAGATAGGCTCGAAGGTTCAATATTTTGCATTCCGCATTTGGCGAGGCGCGTTTGCCCAAAATTCAAAAGATGAACGATTGTGTATAACGGCCGAACCATGCCTACACTGAAGCAGGCTTTCTAAAATAAATAAATAAATAAAATGTTTTGAAGTGTTTGCCATAGTATCGGGATGGGCTCGAAGGCTTTACATTTCATATTACGCGTTTAGTTGTGGACTGGGTCGTCCTCAGAAAGTTCCCTGGCGAGGCGCGTGAGCCCAAATTTCAAACGATGAACGAAACCGTAAAAACAGCCGAACCATCACTTCGAGACCAGATTTTTAAAAGAGGATACATTTTCAAGTATTTACAAAAGCACCAGGATAGGCTCGAGGGTCTACATTTTATACTTTGTCTTTAGTTTTACATTAAAATGTCTTCTAAAATTTCCCCGGCCAGGCAGGGTGCCCGAAGTTCAAAAATGAACAAATGCGTAGAAACGGCCAAACCATAATACCGAGATCGGCTCGAGGGCTTTATAGTTTATATTGTCACGAATGACAATTCATGAGGCGACAAAAACTGAAAAAAAAAAAAAAAAAAAAAAATTA